CCAACCAGTTTGCTTGCACAATGGCAAGGCTTGGAAAACTTGCTGATTGGACTACAAGTCCCAAAATCCACCCCAGCCAGCATGGCTGTTGGAAAATGATTATTCTTCCCAAACTCTGTTCCTTGGAGACATTAGATTTTTAATTCGATTCCTTGGAACTCAAAGTTTTATCTATGTTGTTTTAGGGCTCCTAAGTGGTTGATTTGGGCATTGGATTATGACTCTGAAGACCAGACTTTAAATCTTTGCATATATATATATATATATATATATATATATATATATATATATATATCTTGGGTGACCTTGGGAAAGTCACACTCTCTCAGCCTCAGAGTATGGCAATGGCAAACCCTCTCTGAAAAATCTTGCCAGGAAAACCCTGTGATAGGTTCGCTTTAGGGTTGCAATAAGTCGGGAACGACTTGAGGGTACTAGTTAAAGGTAGAGATTTTTATTTTTGAAAACCAAAACAATTGGGTGCGATTTGGGAAGGCAAGCAATAAAAAAAATCCAGCTGCTAAAAGTTTTAATACTTGGAGGAAGGTTAGAAAAGGAGGGGTTAGAAGGTTAGAAAAGGGAAGGAGGAGGAAGATAAGTTGTTCCAAAGTCTTGGTCTGGCAAGCGAGAAAAGCAAAGACTGAGTATCGAAGGCACAGAGGTACTGTTTAAACACTCCAGTAGACAGACAAAGTCCAGTGCCTTGCATCAGACCTTTACAGAAGGCACCCCAGCTCAGACCCCCCAAAAAACCCAGTTTTTCTTGTATCTCAGGGTGCATCTACACTGTAGAATTAATGAGCTTTGACACCACTTTGACAGCTATGGCTCCATGCAACAGAATCCCGAGATTTGTAGTTTGACAGAGGAGGCCAAAAAGACCTTGCAAAACTATAAATCTGAGGATTCCACAGGATGGAGCTGCAGCACTTAAAGTGGTATTAAACTGCATTATTTCTGAAGTGTAGATGCATCCTGGGAAGATTGCCATCTGATCCTCCCTTTTGCTTTTCCAGCCAGTGTGGTGTAGTGGTTTGAGCGCTGGACTATGACTCTGGGGACTAGGGTTCGAATCCCCACTGAGCCATGAAACCCACGGGGTGACCTTGAGTAAGTCACACTCTCTCAGCCTCAGGGGTAGGCAATGGCAAACTTCCTCTGAACAAATCTTGCCAAGAAAAGCCCATGATAGGTTCTCCTTAGGATCACTGTAAGTTGGAAACAACTTGAAGACACTCAATGACAATGTGCGGACTGGAGAAGGTAGACAGATAGTGATGAGACATCGTCTCCAACATCCTCCTCATATTCTTAGGCCATTTATAGTCAGGGGAGCTGGTGACTTCCATGACAGTAGGGCTGTGAATCTGTTCTGGGTTTTAGTCTGAACTTTCACGGCATTAACCCAAGGGTATGGCAACCTACCCAAGGGTTTTCTTGGTAAGATTTATTCAGAGAAGGTTTGTCTCCAAATGTCTTCTTCTTTGCTAAGAGAAGGTGACTTACCAAGAAAAGCTGACCAGACATCTTCCTTTTCCAGGACACATCCTACATTTCAGCCTTCGGTCCAGGAGGAATTCCAAAATGCCCTCCATTCTGAGCATGACTAAGAAGCCAGGATTTATATCTATATGAGTATTTTTTTAAAGCTTTTATTTGTTAATGTCTTGCATTTTGCGGTGCCTTGTCCGCCTTTGCCGTTATGACATCTGGTCACCTTGTGACCAGATCACCCAGTGGATTTCCACTGCTGAACAGGGATTCGAACCCTAGACTCCCAGAATCCAACGCTCAAATTGCTACACCACACTGGCTCTTGTGTGTGGGATTTTATGCCTTAAAATTGCCTGTTGACTTACGGAGACCCCATACACACCTACAGTGACAGCTGTAGGATCTCATAGATCAATCGGCAGGGATCTTTTTTGCCTTGTGTCCAAAGGATCTGACATTTGGATATGTTGATCCTGGTGGTTCCTTTTCTCTCTTTCTTTCTCTCATTCCCTCTCTCTTTTTCCTCTCCCCCCATCCTTCCCTGCTTTTGTCCTTCTTCTCACGAAACCTTATGCCAATGTTTGTGTATGGGGCAGAGATCCCACTTAACTGGGAACTGTCAAATCCTTTCTCTTGACCATGTAAGGGAACCCTGGACGGCCTTCCCGTGCAAAGCGACAGCCCTGCGAAAGACAGGGAATCTCTTTCCAAAATAATCTGGGCTGTGAGAAGTCGGGGAGGGTGCGAGTAGAGCAAATGTGACTCAGATTTCAGAAGACTTGATGCTTCTGCACACGTACGTTGGAGTATTTAGGATATGCTGCAACAAGAGCGGGATACTACACACTGGTGAGAGCCAGAGTTTGGGCAGAAAAGCCCAGCTTTTGGGGCTTCAGAGCAAATGGAAAGACTGGACCTAACAGCGGCTTTGGGGGTGCACCCAGGAAAGGAAAACTGAAAGCAGTTATTTATAACCTGCTATTTATAACCGATGCAAAATGCATATAATGCACCAGTCCCTGCTGCAAAGAAGCCTCCTTGAAGAGAACTGGTTTTGCTACTAGCTCAACACCCAAACAGCCGTGGCTCTGATATTTGATGGTCAAAGTGGTATTTCACCGCCAAAGTAGCACTGCTGCCTTTGGAGGTATTTTGGGTAAGGACGCAAGAGAAGGGCCTTCTTGGTGGCTGCTCCCAAGAGTCTGCAGAATTTCCGAACTTGCTTTTCCTTCAAAGGGAGGCTAGCCTGCATCTCTTCCTTTTCTGCTTTTAATCAGGTGGGTTTTGGACAACCGATCGCTTGTTGAGAAAGTGGCTTAGCGCAGCTGGGTGCCATACTTTTATGGGTGCCATACCAAACTGATAACGCTTTACAAATTGCTTGCAGTTCAGAGCTGCTTTACTATGACACTGGCTGAAATCTTATTTCTCAGTCCCAGTTGGAGCAGGCTTATTGACTCCACAAAAGAATGGTGGATCCACACATAGGTAATTCCCATTGATTCAATAGTTGGGAATCACCATTAGGATTCAGGCCAATTCTTTTCAGTCCTTTTTAAAAATGCATACAACTCCCTGCATTTTGTTTGTGTCTTTTTAATTAAAAAGCCTCTTCTGAATTGCCATGAGTTTTAGTTTTGGGAAAAAGAGATGTTGCATTTGTCCATACCTGCCATATCAGTGGGTTGGTGGGACCACCGTGGGTTCTGGATTTAATTTTAAAGATGCTGTCCAAGGTGCTAAAACATGTTGTTGTTACGTGCCTTCGAGTCATTTCTGACTTACGTCGATCCTAAGGTGAACGTATCCCAGGCTTGTCTCCTTGCTCAGCCATAGAAACCCTTCATGCATTTATTTATCTTTCACCTTTCTCCCCACGGTGGCTTACAGAAGGACTGACTGGGCAAGTCACACTCTCTCAGCCTCAGGGAAGGCAGTGGCAAACCTCCTCTGAACAAATCTTTCCAAGAACATCCCAGGATAGGATCAATGAATTGAAGGCACACCACAACAACAAATTGTGATGGTGGATCTGTGCCTTCAAGTTATGGTGACCTTATCTTTCTTGGCCAGATTTATTCAGAGGAGGTGTGCCATTGTTTTCCTCTGAGGCAGAGAGAGTGTGACTTGCCCAAGGCCACCCAGTAGGTTCTTCTATAAGCCTCCCTGGGGAGAGAGGCAACATATAAATACATACATGAAGGGTTTCCATGGCTGAGTGAGGATTCGAACTCTGTTCCTCTAGTCTCCTAGTGTCCAATGCTCAAACCGCTAAACTAAACCCTGCAGATATCAGGCATCCTTCTTGTCTCCTTTCCTTCCTCGGTGGGTTATCTAAGCCGACCTTTGGCTGCCGCATGTCAACATCCCCAGATAGATTAGGCTGTGGAATATTGCTTCCAGGGGCAAATATCTGCAAATATTTAAGAAACCTCATGCTGGATTTAGCTGGGAAGGATCCATACCTGTTCATCCTATCCAAGAAAGAAGAGGACGATGTTGATTCCAGAGACAGCGGTCCCTGCCGAAAAGCAAAATATCAGCAACATGTAAGGGACCCTATTACCTGCTTTAGGTCCAAGTAACATTGGAGAGGTTCTGGCTATTAAACTTGTGTTATTATGATGCCAGTCATTTTAGGCAGAGATCAGGTTGAAATTAAGGCCATCTTTCATGCCGTCTTTCAGTAAGCTAACTGGATTGTTTGAGTTTTGCTGGAGGGGAAAATGAATATGAGAATATGACTATGGAAAAATGCTGATTTAATGGTTTAAAATGCTGGGTTTAGCTGTATTAATGCTGGTTTATGGGATGCTACTCCAATTTGGATGGATTCCTAATGCATTGTGTGTGTCTTCAGGTTGTTTCTGGCTTAGGGCAACTGATGGGGTTTTCTTGGCAAGAGTTGTTCAGAGGAGGTTTTGCCCTTGCCTTCCCCTGAGGCTGAGAGAGTGTGACTTGCCCAAGGTCTAGTTCCCCTTTAGAAGTGAGACAAACACTGCTGAAAATCCAGAATCAGAGAAGAAATTCCAGACTTAGTTCCTGGGAAATGTTGTGTTTCTAGAGAAACTCTCCAATACTTCAATATCCCATGTTTTGTTATTGTTGTGAATACTGCAGGTATTTTTAAACTAGGTATTTTTTTAAACTCGAGGTGGCATTTCCCAGCTTGGCATCTGCAGACCTGCTGGACTGCAACATCCATCCTCCCCAACTGGTGAGGGATGATGGATATTGCGCTCTTTTTAGGTCTTAAAGATTTAAGCACTGAGTCTAGTTGTATTTATGAATGTCTATGAGAGACCACTATATCTTTGCCTGGAGTCCTCATGCTTCAAGGTTTGCCGCTTGGCCGCAAAATGAGCTGAGCTCAAAATACAGAATCTGAAAAGAAACTTTGCAAACATTGGCATTTGTATTTCTGGGGAAAATATAAAATATTCTACTTGCCTGTTTGATATTTCATTAGTATGCAACTGTGTTACATTTTGCGGGTGTTTTGAGCTGGATATAGTGTGGTGCAGTGGTTTGAATGTTAGACTGTGACTCTGGAGACCAGGGTTCAATTCCCTGCTTGGCCAGAGGTCACACTCTCTCACCCTCAGGGGAATGCAATGGCAAACCTCCTCTGAACAAATCTTGCCAATAAAACTCAATGATTGATTCACCGTAGGATTGCCATAAGTTGGAAATGACTTGAAGGCACACAACAACAACAGATGTTTCTAAAAAATAAATTCAGGATGATTTTTCTCAACCTTCTCCTCTGCAGACATGTTGGACTGCAACATCCATCTTTCTCTGCAACAGGATGCCGGGGGACAATGGGAATTGTGCTCCGACATGCCTGCAGGACATGAGAATGGGGGAGGCACTCTAGAAAGAGTGATTGTGGTTTGCAACACTATTCGTTGGAGCTGTTAAGTGTCCATCCATCTGGCTTGTAATAAATGATGGCTAAAGTGAATCTTTTAATATTCACTCAAGACAAATAAATGCCCAGGCTGCTGTGATTAATAAAGCAGACACCCAATTATTTTCCAGCAACGGGTGAGTTTTGCCTCTAGGTTGAGCATGACTTACTGGAATTGCAATCCGGGAAATCCCAGGACTCCATATAATTATTTTCAAAGAGCCATCGGTTAGTTCTTTGAGCCAAATGGGCTTTTCTTGACTTCCTGAAAATGGCTTACTCCTGGGATTTGCAAAGCTCAGAGAGGGAAGACACAGCTCTTTTGGAGGAATGGATCCAGCAGGCAAAGTTTACTGGAGTTCAAGTTTCCCTGTATCCAAAACATATAGTCAAGGGTGCATTCCCTTCTCAAATATCTCAGGGCAGTTGCCAAGTTAGCTAAACAGAAACGGAGGGTGAAACTGGATTGATGATGACCTTTTTCCCGTTGTCAGCTTTTCTTGCTTTAGGATCCTCACATTTGAGCCTTTTCTGCATCCTCGGAGTTTCTTTATAAGTCATTTACAGAGAGCAAGGAACCGTTCAATACAGTATAAGGCTTGATTTCATGCACACAGCTCTGTGGATTATTTCCATTGCGAAACCCACAACCGACATTTAGCTCCTGCAAAACGTTTGGTTGCTGCTCCATGCGTTCAACTGCTTTTCTGCGTTATGTTAAAGCAAAACCTGGAATTTACTGGCCATCCTTGACCTTTTTTTTAAAAAAGAAGTATTCTGAACATAGAAGCATAGAGCTGGAAGAGACCCCCAAGGGCCATCCAATCCAACCCCATTTTGCCATGCAAGAAGACACATTCGAAGCACTCCCGACAGATGGCCATCCAGCCTCTGTTTAAAAACCTCCAAAGAAGGCAGCATCTTCCACTGTCAAAGTTTTTACCATCAGAAAGTTCTTCCTAATATTGTGATGGAATCGCTTTTCCTGTAGTTTGCATCCATTGCTCCATGTCCTGGTCTCTGGAGCTGTGGAAAATGTTCGCTCCATCTTCAGTATGACCTCCCTTCAAATATTTAAACATGGCTAACATGTCACCCAAAAGCTCCTCTTCTCCAGGCTAAACATACCCAGCCTATACCAAGACAACATACTAAGTTGCTCCTAATAAAGCATGGCTTCCAGACCTTTTACCATTTTGTTCCCCCTCCGCTGAATACGTTCCAGCTTCTCAACATCCTTGTTGAATTGTGGTGCCCAGAACTGGACACAATATTTCAGGTCAGGCCTGAGCAAAGCTGAATAGAGTAGGACTATTATTTCCCTCGATCTAGACACTACACTCCTGTTGATGCAGCCAAAGATCATATTGGCTTTTTTAGCTGCTGCATCACACTGTTGACACATGTTCAACTTGTGGTCACCTAGTGGGTTTCCATCCCCAACATGACATCCCTTCAAATATTTAAAGACGACTATCATGTCACCCTTTAAACCAGCTCTTACCATCATGTTTAGGTGGAATCTCTTTCCCTCTAGTTTGAATCCATTGAGTTTAATCATGATTAAGTCCTGATCTTTATGTTCTTCCTAATGTTTAGGTGGAATATTTTCTCCCATGGTTTGAATCTATTGCCTGTGTCCTGATCTCTGGAGCAGCAGAAAACAAGCTTGCTCCATCCTCAACATGACATCCCTTCAAATATTTAAAGATGACTATCATGTCACCCTTTAAACTAGCTCTTACTGAGCTAGATTCTTAATGTTTAGAATCTCTTCGCCTGTAGTTTGAATCCATTGAGTTTAATCATGATTAAGTCCTGAGCTTTAAGTTCTTCTTAATGTTTAGATGGAATATTTTATCCCATGGTTTGAATCTATTGCTCCATTGTCCTAGTCTCTGGAGCAGCAGAAAACAAGCTTGCTCCATCCTCAACAGGACATCCCTTCAAATATTTAAAGACGACTATCATGTCACCCTTTAAACCAGCTCTTACTGTTAGGAAGTTCTTCCTAATGTTTAAGTGGAATCTCTTCCCCTGTAGTTTGAATCCATTGAGTTTAATCAGGATTAAATCCTGATCTTTAGGTTCTTCCTAATGTTTAGGTGGAATATTTTCCCCTGTGGTTTGAATCTATTGCTCCGTGTCCTGATCTCTAGAGCAGCAGAAAACAAGTTTGCTCCATCCTCAACATGACATCCCTTCAAATATTTAAACTTGGCTATCTGTCACCACTTAACCTTCTCTTCTCCAGGCTAAAGATAACCAGCTCCCTAAGACACTCTTCATAGGACTTGGTGGTTTCCAGACCTTTCATCATTTTGGTCACCCTATTCTGGACATGACTTGAAGGCACATGCATACATAGTGCTCCAGCTTCTCAGCATCCCTCTGGAATTGAGGTGCCCAGAACAGCCTCTGAACAATAACCCTATGTGTGGAGAAGAGATAACTGGTGTGTTCTTAGATCAAAGGGATGGTGTTTGGCTCCTTTCCAAAGAAGTGGGTTAGTTCACCCCCCCTACACATTTATTGCATCACCAGCCAGCCCCACGTGGCTCCAGGAGACACCGACCAGGGTGTCTCATAGCCACAGAGACGGACATGGCTCGGATTGCCTCATAGGCGTGGGATCTGCCTGGCTTGTCTCCATCCATGATCTTTCTCTTTTAGCCACAAAGGCCTGTCATCCCTGGGGGCCTTCTTTGTCCTTGGGAATCGAGATTGCCTAGAGAAAAAGAGAGAGGATCTGTCAAAAAGGCAAACTCAGAGGTTGGGGACGAAGGAAGGAAAAACAACAACACCATATTACTCCCTGCTCCTTTTCTGAATAAGGTGAACACAGGATGATCCATCCTTGAAAGAGGTGACCTTTTCAAATGGATTTTCTCTCCGACTGCAAACACGATGGGAGAGGTTTGCTGGAAGTGTTTTTCTGCATTTGATTGGAAAAGATCTATCCCTTGCAAGCCCAAGACTTGGTCTTGGTCCTGGTCTTTTGGTGCCCCGGATGATGGGGAGATGTTATTCCAGGCAGGATGATCTGGCTCAAAAGCTGATGAGGTTAGTGTCTGCTAGATGTGGCTGAAAAACACTGGATATATATATCTATCAGACTATACCTGAGCTAATATTTGGTAGTCTTGACTTGATTGGCCTATTTTGGGTGTGTTTGTATGTGTGTGTGTGTGTGTGTGGGAGGTGTGTAGTGGTTTAAATGTTGGACTGTGACTCTGGACACCAGGATTCAAATCCCAGCTCAGCCCTGTAAATCCACTGGGATGACCAGGGGCAATTCACACTCTCTCAGCCTCAGAGGATGGCAGTGGAACCCCCTCTGAAGAAACCTGCCAAGAAAAACCCATGATAGGTTCACCTTAGACGGGTCTCCATAAGTCGGAAATGACCCAAGGGCACACAACAACAAAGGATGGGAGACCACCAATGAATACAAGGTGCAGAATTTGCAAAACCACCTATTCCTTGTATTCCTTGCCTTAAAAAACCCTATTTAATTCATGGGGTCACCGTAAGTCGGCCGATGACTTGAAGGCACATGCATACATAGTGCTTCTATCATGTTTTAAAGGTGCTTTAACTTCTTTGGTTTAATGGTATTTTAACTTTTGTATTCATTGGTTTTTTTTAAAGCCATTCTGTGTTTTTAAATGGCTGTAAGCCACCTTGAATCCCATGCTAATTATTTTGTGTGTTGTGCGTTTTTCTAAAACAAACGAATATTTTATGACCACCTTCTAAGAATGCTGTTTACATCTCTGTTGTCCTTCTCTGTGTTAACTTGGGACTTTGTTTTGTATGATACCTTGAGCATGCGCTTGGAGATGTCGACGGAGCAAGAGAGTTAGTTTTGCCATCTTCAGAAGCTTTATCGAGAAGGTCAAACTGATCATTGATTTTACATTTTTGCAGTAAGCACAGAGGTAGTTCATCTGGCACCAAATCTAGGAGAAGGGAAAAAGGAGTCCACGCTTCTTGTTTGGGGAGGCAATAGGATTAAGTGAAGGCACATTGAACTGCCAAAGGATGGGCAGAACTCAGTTGAACTCAGAAAATGATGTCGAACAGCTTCCTTTGGCTCCTTGGAGCAACATTCAGCAGAAATATCAGACGCCTTTTGTTGCATTAAGGAGAAATCATTGACTTTTTAGAAGTTGGCAAGTTATCTTGGGAGGCGCCTGGGCTGCTAAGATTGGAAAAAGTGCATCTTCGAAACCCTTTTCTGGAGCCACTGCTTCTAAAATAGGAAAAGTGTATATTTACAAACCGTTGCTTGGAGCCTCCTTTACTTCTTCCATCCTTTGGCAGGGTCTATGGAGACCAATGCTGCTCATGGTAGGCTTTATATATTGGCTGAGATGCGGTGGTTTCTTCTTGTTGTGCGCCTTTAAGTCATTTCTTGAAAAGACCTAACAATAACGACAAAGTGGGACAGAGAGAGGTGCCTCCCCTGAAGAT